TTATGCGCTTCCTGCAAGCCAGAGTCACGTACTTCCGTTGCCCATATGGAGTTAGCCTCGTATTTGCCAAGTAAGATTTATGATTACCGCCATTCCTCTTACGCTCATGGTCCTCTAGTGGTAAGGGAACTGTCGCTTGCACATTACGTAGGTGCTACAAGATAGAAATGTTTTCACCATCGATTATCGTTGGCTACTTCGGCACTTCGCTTCAGCCTTTATCGAATCAATTTGATTGAATAGCAACTGCTTGTTCTGAGGTGGCTTATGAGCCGAGATTTGTCGTGTGGGCGCTTTTGTCTTTATTTGATTGCAGGCTAAAGCAAACATATGTGCTGTGCCAAAAGAAGATTTTCTCTCCAATGACAGAAAGGTTTTCTTGGCTCTTTTTCCAGCCCTAGCTGAGGTTGATTTTAGACGAAAGTTTGCCAGCTGCATTCTCACTCTCTAAACTTGCTTCCGCCCTACGCAAAACGGTCTAAATACTTGGATTTAAGTGCTTTTGCGTTCATCGTGATCTTCTTTACTTCCTCATGCTTCAACAAATAGGTATGTTCTTCATAGAATACCGTAGTCGTCGTGTGGTCCACATCTTTACGAAGCGCATACTAATGGGGGAAATATGGAACGAACTGCAACAGTTCTTCCAACTCACAATAAGTGGCTCGACGTGTGGTTGCAACTGGAAGATATTTAAACCGACTAGGTATAACGTCCGAGCGGTTTTCGCTTTTACACGCTGATAGCGAATGACTGGAAGCTTGTAACTCAGATGGGTTTCGATGCACCGACCGATGAAAGTTTCAAACTGCTTTTGGACACACACTTACGTAGGACACCAGGGCTTAACTGTTTTACTGCGACTGCTCCGCTTCCTCAAGGACTACGGAGCGCGACGATATACGTGTTACTAGTGTTGAATTGGAGGTGATGTGGCTGACATGGAACCTCCTTTCTACCCTCGACAACTCTGTGAACTCAATGAAACACAGTGCCCAGCCTGACCAGACTGCTATCCAGTTCTCTGTGGTAGAATTTCGACCAAAACTTTGACTCTTACTTGGACCCTGAGCCAGGAATAAGCAACGAGTTTGACTAGCGGAATCGCCAATAAAGCATCACTCGAAGCCATGGAATGCAAGTCTTAGAAAGCCCTGGTCCGCATGGTATAAGATGCTTTAAGGATAATTGGCTTACCAAAGCTTTAATTACTTTGATCAAAGCAGTGAAGACGAAGCTTCTGGTAACTTAGCTCCAGCATACACGTACAATTCAAGACAGTATTTCGCCAAGTTCCACTGCATGTTTAAGGCTCTTTCTGAAGAACAGAGTCCAATGACTCTAATAATGCACACTGACTCTCGTAAACAGGTATCCTCTCTTAGGTCATCATGACATTACTAAAAGAAGAACATCTGTATTGTAGATAATTTGTGTGATAAAATTTGCTTGATTTCAAACTTGCAGGTTCCAACTGTGAGAGCATCACTCAATATATTATCAATAAGCACCACAACTACAACTTGTGAGCATGGGTTATTGATAGAATAATAATATAATATGCACTTAAATGGTTGGCATCCGATTCCGAATTTGCTTGTCACTGCGACCTCTATAGTACAGCCACAGGACGCTGGTATTCATAGATGGACCACGGATGGCTTACACAGCGCCACACACAGCTCCAACTTCCCACCACATATCTAGTGTAAACCTAGCGGAATTAGACCGGGACGCATGTGGATGATAGCAACGTTTCATTAACGGAGCCAGCCCACACTAATGCAACATGAACAGAAACAGCATTGTTGTCAGCCTAATTTGTGAATCACGCGTACCAGGAGTACACAAGGAGCTGGCCGGGCCGCAGCACGTTTCACAGAAAATGGGACCACTTTTGGAGCCTAACGCTGTCATGAAAGTTTTGTCGCCGTATCTCTAAGCAAAGATCAATTGTAACCTAGAACTCGTTTGGTCGAAGTGGCGGCTTTTCTACATGCCAGCGCCTTGTCAACATGCCCGTCAAGCACATACACACAATACACAGCACAGGTGCGTTTTCTTGTGTAAAGAGTGCGTCCGACAGACAAGCATATATATATATATAGATGTATATAATTTAACGAATAACGTTTTAATATATCATATAACTTGTATAATTGTCTAAAACTACTTTAAGTAATAACGCGTTGCATTCCGTCTTAGCGATGATACCCTTTATACTTGCCAAACTAAATATAACCAATGTACCCGCACCTAGGAATATGCCCTTCTCGGACCTGGAAGAACTTGACTAGTCCAGGGTTGTTGATATGAACACAATTGCTCAGTGAGATTTGCCTCCAGACTGCCAAATGTATCTTCTTAGCCTCAGTTCGTTTTAAAGTTATTGGAAGCTATGTTAAAGGCATCAAAAAGCTCGTCTTAGCACAATTGCTTCACTGGATTAAAATGTCCTCCGAGACTTGGTATCCTGGAAAGTTGTAATAGCTTTGGATTGAGTGAATGGTACGTTAATAAGATATCTATACCAACAAGGTGCAAATTGAACAACATACATACAGCGTGCGTTTTACACGTTTGTTTACAAACTTGGGCAAGGTTCCATCACCCTGCCGTTTGGCGTCGTTAATTTCTGTAAAAGCTGTCCAGGAAATTAGCTTTCATTCTGTTTCTGTACACCGTGAAATAAAAAGATGCAAGTATCTGCATGAGAATTTGCCTCGTGGGTCCATTTTGTTAAGTGAGATCCTGAATGATCCAAACACCACTTCTCCTGGAATAGAAGTCGTTACTGTCACCTAGTCACTAGATAGACTGAGAGTACGCCGGTTCTGTGCTGGTTTTAGGGTTAATGTCTAACATTTTCTCGTTGTTTTACTACCGTATAGTGTTGTGTACTGAATCTCTCGTGCATATGAATCAAACTCTAAAAGCGCGACGCGCTTTTGCAGATAAGGCCGAGATGTCACAACTTGTTGTTACTACTGGATATTTTCGATGGTACTCGCGAGGTACTTTTCCAATGGCCAGCTAAAAGAAGTTGCTTGCTGACCAGTAAGTCTCAAGCTACCATTATGTGTTGCAAACATCCCCGAAGACGGAATTGTGTAACTTTCTCAATTAAGTTGCGAAGGTGAAGCACGTGTAATTTTACAGGCGGTGAGTAAATTAAGAAACTTATAGCATGTAACTACCGTTCTCCGAAAATTGGTCTCCTTTTTATAAGGGACCACTAAATAAGTCCGTTGGTTCAAAGTTGAACAAAGCGAACAGGTTGTGCCGTTCGGTTGCGACTCACAACCTCTGTTGAGACCTCGGTTCATTATGTGGCAAACCTCGGTCGTTTCGATCACAAAGACCGTATCCGGAATGGAAATATTTGGGTGTTGGTCTTCCGAACACAAACCGTTTAAGGGGAAATATCTAAAAGTTTTCGCCATACGCGACGCTTGTCTATTAACTGCCTCATTGTCTAATATAACTCTATCGTGATTAGCAGATGGCATAACCAAAAGAAAGAATGTAATTGATCGCATAACTGGTTGTACTGTGAAATAGAGACATCGGGGTCGAGCAAAGTAATAGTTATTATTGACGCTTCCTTACAGGACACCTCATGAAATAAGCGGAGCCATAAAGTCAACTGTTAATTCCTTCTAACACTTCCCTGCAAGGATAACAACTTTAAATTTCTTTTTTCGTTGCATTTATTTCTATGTTTGCGCGCCTCTGTTTGCATACCTTTATTTCACGGTCTTGTATTAAACGCTATTTTGCTTTTTCCTTGGATCATAACCATTGTTACCTTCTCATTTGACGTCCGGATCATTGCATATACTTGGAAACAAACTGGACCAGCTGTCCCTTATCTAATCATCTGTTTTAACAGCAATACTAAGGGCAGATATATGCTATTCATGCAAACTCATAGAAAAACGCTACATCAAATTACGGGTACCGATAAACGTGCTCATGTTGAAATATTGACAAATAATCTCACCAGATAAATGGCCGTAAGTGAATACGAGGTCTGTATACGTTAAAGTTGGATTTGAAATACCTGTCGTGCGGTTGGATGCGACATGCAATCTGTATTGAGATCTCGGTCATTGGAATCACAAGGACCGTATCCGAACACTGGCACCTCATGACCGGTAGTTGTGTATTTTCTTTTCTAGCACAAAAAGCTTACTTACCGGTTTAAAGGTAGCTACCGTACTAGAGTAGGACTCACAGCAATATCCGCACCAGCGGCGGTCTTTTGATACCAACACTTTCTTGATGTTCGTAAAACTGATCGGTGTAGTAATTCAGTCTAAAAGAAACTTTTTTATTTTCCGACGCAGCACGTTTACACTAACTAGCAATTTCCGTCGCAATGTTACTCACACGTGTACTAGCGAAATGCTCTGGAATGTCTTGCCTACACTTACCTGAAGTATGCTAACTGAAATCACCATGTCATCAAAGTTTGATGTGAGATCTGACTTAGTGTTCTACGGTAGCGGGAACTGTACAGTTGGAAGCAAGTAGGCGCCGTTAGACAGGAAAAACGTTGGCACCAAACATGTCCCCATGTTTGAATGATTAAATGGTTTTGACATGCATCGTACACACATACAATACCAAGAAACCTATGAACAACACATTAAAAATGTTTATTTGTAATTCCACTGAAGGATTCCTATCCAAGAAGACACATATTTCCGCACTGCACCACTCAGAGATCCAGTGTAATGGTGTATGTCAAGGTGGTCCCTTAAAACGTGTACTTATGCGCTTAAGTTTTCGCAATCAGAAAGCAATTGGAAACGGAGTTTAGTTGCTGTCGTTACCGTAATGTGAGATCACATTGACTTCATTGTATACTTATACAAAAATAGTTGTATTGTCGAGTTGACCTTCTGGGGCTAGTTAGGTGTGGATGGCATAATGTTTTACTGTGCAGCCGGAGTTGCTAAGAAGCAAAGATAAAAAGTAACATTTCCTTGACTTACATTCGGTATGCGCTGTTGCAACTGTGCACTGGATGCTGTGACCTATCCAATAGCAATATATAAAGGGATCATTTGTAACACCCCATGGGATTGAAGGACATTAGAATAACATGGTTTGACATGTATTCTATTTAAGGTGAAATATAAAACAGACAATTCTAGAAGGACGCTCTCTCTTTGGTTTGCATATTTTTTATCCTCTAACCGATGATAAAGCGATACGTAATTGATTAAATTCCTCAGAAATTGTATGCAGACTGATTTTATATTGCTCTTGGTCTTGGACCAAGTTTTAGTGCAAGATTCGGCGACATGTATGCCAGATATTTACATCCGCAAATTGCGGAGTATGTTGGCGCTTGAAAGGTAACGAATCCAGGCTTGGATGCTTTATAAGGGTTATAAAGAGTATGCGGCTTATCGTCGGGTGATTACTTGACTAATGCATCAAGTAGGTGCGACACTATAGTTCCTGGCAGTGTTGGAGGTTCAAAATGCCAGAAACATGATTTTCTGGTACAACTAGGTAGAAGTCTTGTTAGAATTTTAGCAATTTCCGATGAAGAATATTGGCTAACACGCTGCGCTTACTTCAGGTACAATTTCTCACAAACTGTCGGGCATATGTAAGAGTGTAAATAAACAAATTCCGTTGATTTACTGAAACAAAACAAAAAGTGGGTGGAAATTGTGTGGCGCATCTTTTGCATTCTTCACTGAAATTCAATCGCCGGCGAATTTTAAGCGACAAGGAATTGTTACTACAAGACTTGAGATCAACGGCAATCCAACCTGAAGTTTTATCTAGCACGGCCATTCGGTCCGTTTAAGGATGGCTACTCGAAACATCCTTTCCTTAAACCATAGTGAGCTAAAATGCGGAATTGCGTCACAAACGCTTTTTTATTTAAAATGACGCGTCTGTACCACAACTGCCAACACTACTGTAGTGGGGTATGCCAGCGGCCATATTGTACCAGCCAGGACGTCTCCTACGGAGGACTTACGTGATCTGTAGTAGCAACCAAAGGTTGATGCAAACAGCTGGTGGCATACTGCAAATGAAAAGTGTAGCCAGGTGTCATTGAGTAGTAGAACCTAGCCCAAGGACAAATTAGTGATATCCGCTAGCTTATTTAGTGACGCTTGCAGTTTCTTCTGCGAGCTTATCATCACCGGTAATACGCAGTTGCCGCGCTGAACGTGATTGGCTTGACGAAACAGTGCGTGCTTTAGCTTTTGAAGCGCGCCTCTTCAATTTACTGCAACTGCGCTTGAAAGGAATCTGCACTAAATGAGAGTGAAGACTATAAAGTAAGAAATAGTTTTTATTTGATGTCAGTGCGGGCGAGGTGAATTTGCGATTCAATATGATATTTAGAATGTCGCCTGCATGCTTTTGCCTCATACCGGTGAAGAACATTGGTTTTGCTGGCTTCAGCAGTCTGATAAAGGAAAACGGTTTGTTGGCGATGAATGTTTACACTCAAGAGATTTGAAACTGAACTTCATAGTTGTGTGAGGATTGAGAAAACCTACGACCATGAGAACAACCAGTCACCCACATTTGCTGTTATCTACTTGTTTTCAACTGATGTCACAATAAATTAAGCGTCACATTTGATAGCCCACAATTTTCTGATTACCTGCTACGCTATGCTATTACCATATATTGACAGGTTATAAATTGGTGTATTAAACAGAAACAAACGAAACGCTGTTGTAAAGATATTGGAAGGAAGCAGACGAACTCACTGGCAATTGACCTCGTCGTCGGTCTTGCAGCACCTAAAAAGTGTTTTGAATGGGTGGAAATGAAATATCTAAATCAAGGGACTAATTTAATATTGTACACATGAAGATGTCTGCCATAATGAAAAAACACGTGTTAGCAGGATTTGACTATATTAAATCAATTATCGCTCCACGCTTCAATTTCTTCTCTTAGTGTATGCAGCTAAACTGTTTGAACGACAGATAACCATCAAGAAACTATGTCTTCAGTGACCAGAAAACATTAAAAAAAACACGCACCGTACTTGTCACCAAATCAGACTCATTCTTGCATTTAGAATTTATGATCTATCGTTTATTACGGCAAGCACCATTTGGCGAAAGTTTCATACGGAGGTAAGTCAGGATCAACAGCATCACTATCCGATAATCTCACGCCCAATCCGATCAACATAGACATTTATTCTAAAGTCCATATCTCCACTCTTTACACTGGCTTTGGACTACTAAGTGTTTTCTATTCTTCCCTAGAAACAACAACATGGGGATCTGCAACAGTTCAAAACGTCCTGCAAAGTGAATTTGCGCCACACACCAATCGCCCATTTCGATCGCCTGCACCTGCTGAAGCTATCCCAATATTTCTTTGGGCTCCCACATATTTTATGAATACTTCTAAGGTTTTGCTTTGCTACAATCCTTAGGCACAACTTGAATTGGACAATCGTCAGACATGAGCCATTCATCTACTGTTACTGTGCTTGCATTCTATTTCTATTCCTTTTTCTCTTTTATCTTTTGGCCATGATTGGGAGAATCTCCTGAGGTTACGCATTGGAGCTTCCAAGCAATCTAGCTTACGCACGCAATGCAAATTGCCAAATATTCACTGGCGATTATAGAAAGAGCATGACCCGAAACAAGTGAATTGTGCAATGGGTAATATGAAGGGCGGACCTTGCATGCAACAGCGCCCCTCCCAAAATGGGTCAACGTGATGCCGACATAATTGCATATAACAGAGGCCATATAAAAATGCGTCAAATTGATGACGGCTCAATTACTTATAACAACGGCTCAAACAAAACAAGACCCAACGTAATAACGGTTTGCTTGCATATAACAGCAGTCAACAAAAACGAGTCAAAATGATGACGGCTTATTTGTTGTAAGCCGCATCAGCACTTCGCCAGGAGAGACATGGAAGTGCTGATGAAACGTTTCAAAGGACTTGATCGCATGGAAGCAGGTCCCAGCAGACAGTTCCATGGATGGGCGTATTGTTTTACTTGAAATGCCGGATTTACGCACATTTATTCCTACGCGAAACCTCTGCACCTTGCAACACTTTAGAATGATGGAAGATTCCCAAGATTCCGTTGGGACCATAAAAAATCCCAAATAACTTTATCCACAATTTGATTACGTTGTACAAAATAATTAAGCCATGTAAACAATCTGTGTCTTGCAAGCTCGAGAAATAAACCGTTTTTTATTTACTAGGTGAAAGCGCAAGTTAACGTGCTCCTTTGCCTTCAGTGTGCAAAGTTATTGCACACCACATACCATTAATGAAATGTTGCAGAATATGAGCAACGCTGTGAAAAAATATGGAAGCCTAGACAAAACTTTCATAAAGCATTTGTTGAACCCAAACTAATTGACACCTTAGGGTATGGCTCATGAGAAAAGCTTTCTAAACATTAACATAAAAAGGCGCTCCCACCACTGATAATATATCCTGACTCCTGAAACGTGTTGATGAGAGAAGCTTTTCGCAGCTCGCTTGAATTCCTTTTATTACATTAGGTCATTACGCGCAAAACGTTTAAAATATGGACTGGCCTCTCGATTCATTCATTGCTCGCTTTATCAAGGAACCTCGAGTAATGTTGGTGGGGCTGGATGAACTGACGCCACGGGTCGCATTTCGGTGACCGTTGCTTTAACATGACACAAATATGAAGCATCATCCGACATATTTTCTGCTTTATCATTCGGGTTCCAATATAAAAGATTTATTTACATTTAACTTGGCAACTGTTAACTCTGCGAAACGTTAGTACTCTTGTGTTAAGTAGTGGTGTAAAAGTGCGATTTCTTTGCAGTTAACTGTGTAGCCAGTCAACGAAACCTGGCTAGTGTGCGCTGGTGATGCCAAGGGACTAGAACGCGTACAATAACTTTTTGAGCTGCAGTTGTTATGCGTTCATTAATGAAACTGCGATGCAGCTGTTTCGAATGCATATGAACTTTAGTTGGGAATCAGGAATCTTTATGCACCTGCGAAATATCTAGGTTATGTTACACAATAGTTCTGATGAATGCGTAGCAAGCGTATGTGAGACCTCAGAAACGCAGATGTATGCAAAAACCCAAGCTGTCAGACCTGTGTATTCCTGTACTAAATATAAGCAACTTAGTAGGAAAGATGAATCACCTAACACACACTCAAATATGAATATGAGCTGCGTAATTCATTTTACAATCTAGATGAAAAGGTGCTGTGAACGTAATGATAATTTTGACAGTACCGTAGTATATGTCTGACGAGAGGGACAAGAGGTTTTATGGGACGATACCTACTTTGTCTAACAGCTCTTGGGCTAAACGATCTTCCACTCCCTCGCGTTCAGCAGGCACCACCGAGTCCAGATCGTCGTCTGAGGCAGTTGATATAATATCAGCTTGATCCTGAAGGCAGTGCCAATAAAGAGAGAAGTGCCGATTACGTTGAAAATAGACCAATTAAAAATCTTTGAGTACGCAAAGAGTTGATCGTTAACTCTTGAATTCGCGTGGTTTGGACACAACGGTAGGTGTATCTATTGGCTGATGTTTAGCGTTTAGCACAACACCGTTTTCATATAAAAGATCAAGTGTACCTTTAGTATAGAGTTTTGCTGTATAAGATAAATTACTCAAAACAATAAAGAAGTGAGCCAGAAGGAAGCACTATATTGTTAGAGCTGCCATCTAAACCGACTGTGCGTATACTACTCTTTTACATGGCTTATGATGCACAACGTTCGCATATAAGGCTTTACTGGCAGTGGTCTAGCTCTTGGATACTTATCGGATCGGGGATTTGTGGCAGTTTGTAACGCGCATCTCGGATCCCCACCTTTCATTCTGTTGGCACAAATCTTGCACACCCGTGTTGCTTGCGATTCCATTGCGATGATATCGACAAAGTGTAATTATAGTTCGTAACCAATGTGTAACACGTTTACTGTTGTCGCCGATTCATCTAGGTTGATGTTTAAGGACATTGAATGACGTCCACCTTGGTACCATTACTGCCAAGGGTTTCCTTGAGTCGACCTAATATATACTGCAAACAACCTTTGCACTAAGTGCTGTAGGAAAGACCGGCCGTTCAATTTGAGAACATCTCGCATTCTTCACCTTCAACGCTCTGTAATCACTTTTAAGTTTGTTTTTATCAATTATTTCAGCTTCCGCATTCCACTCGGTGGCAGTTCTTACATTGTCACTCCATATGATTAATTCTTGTTGTTTCGTCAGCCATCTCAAGTATCCCATGTTCACTCACAAGCGCGTTTCGCCATTATGGCGATCCGATTACGCTGTGAATAGCTGCGGATAGCATTACGGTTTCGTTGTCATTGACTTGATAAAGATGAGAGTAGAAACGGAGAGATATGCAATTCAAATACATTTGCACAACGGTCTACCATGCACGTGCACTTGATGGTTTATTACTGGACAGTGCTTGGCAGTACTGCGGACCACAACCAGCTCGAGCTATCTTCGCTTTTAGTTACGGTCGACTTGTCGACTTCTCTTGTAGCTAGATTGATGCGACTGCAGTTCAGAAGCTTATGGTATCTCTCTGTGGAATAAAATTGTGTATTTACGAGGTTATCTGCTCTAATTATCGAACAGATGATACACAGTGGAGCGACAGGACTTATATATCTTAGTTCGCCCTTATATACGTTTTGCTGTTTAGTTAAAAAAGTAATGGCTGGTGCGTTTCCTTCGTTGTATGGCAGATGTCATAGCTGAAGAGTCAATAATTAAAGGCTTCACTGTCGTGTCGTTTCACTCACAAAGTAGCCCTGCCCAAGTCATTTTTGTCTTGTGGAACACGATTTTAAACCATTAGATAGTGCACCTCTTCGCTACTGTTAACTTTCCTAATCGATCGATTTATCACAACTGCAGAAACTGTGTAGCTCTCGAGTTGCATACCGCAGTGGCAGAGGTCTATCTGAAAGGAACAGGTGACATATATAGAGACATGTATAGGATAATTCTCGATTGCATATTAAAATAGCTAATTTGTCACCATAGAACCAGGAAAGAAAATTGGCCGAATTCCCATATCCGTTTTTGTAACTTTCCTTTCACTTTTACCCCCGTCAGCCATACATAGATCAAGGCTCCCAAGTCAACACAGCAGCTGAAGACTAAGATCGCATGTGCTTTCATCTAGTCACCGTTGTATTCTTTCCTTACTCGGTTATGCCTACCTGGAGGCGTTAAACTCCATACAGAAGCCAGTGCGGAAATGTAGACCGAGCTCTCATCTACTTTTGCCTGAAGAATGTTAAAGTCTTTATCTCCAATAATTTCGCTGGGCGCTCCCTGCAACATTCGGGGTGGCTACTTCCATCACTGATTGGTGTAAGCGTGGATCAGATAAGAGTAAAACATTAGCACAGTCGGTAAAGTTTCCTGGGTACCACCTGCGTGTCGGAATTCCTAAAAGTTAATACGCTCAATAACAAGATATAGGAGTATGGTACTGACCCATTATAACGATGTACCCTTTGAACTATAAATACTGAATACTGTATTATAGAGAAAGCAGAAATAGATTCTGTACAACTCTTTTGAAATATGGTGAAAAACGTTATAAAAGTTGTCAACCGTGAATATCATTGTCGTTCTCATGTAATATTTAAAAAATCGACTTGCGATATTTCAGGATTCACAAATGTCATATGTCATCGCAAGTGTGCAGTCGTTCTCTGAATCGAATAGTGGCAAAATACTTAGCCGTGCGGTCGCAAAAAACTGTCTTCCTGCGTTATTCGCCTAGAAATCTTTGGATTTATTCTCACAGAGACCTACGTACCATCATTCTATTTGGCTCCGCAAGCTCCTCCTACCTCTGTTCATCTATTGGATCTATCATTCACGGATCGCCAACAAACTGTGCTCTTGGAACTTCGGAGTCAACCGTATTTGAAGCTTATTGGATGTTTTATTTTTCCTCTCGTCGCATAATAAGTCTTGTGGTCTTATTTTAAAGATCTTTTTGAGAGTCACACGATCAGCTTACTACCATTCCTTCAAGTCGCTCTACAAAGAGATAGTCGTCAATTTGATCTGCCCTTGGAACTGCCACTCTCGTCATTAGACAGTATTTTCCAAGTCACCTTGCTTTGCCTCAGTCGCTTTGTCTCGCATCGCTATCTACCCTCTACCGTCTGGATCGATAGCACGCACATCGACACACCTGGACCAGCTGACCTCAAACCAGCGCCGATCGCCATGCAACGGTGTGTCAGTATCTCTATCCTCTTTCTACCCCTTTTCTACCCCTGCTGAGAACATGTCTCGTATGAAAAGCAAATGCGAATCATGTGCCAAAGTGGTAAAAAGTGGTCTGGTGTGTACCATGTGCTTGAAAACCTATCACACTACATGCCTTGGGAAGGGGTCGACGGAAGCGAAAACCGCAGAGGCGCCTTGGTTCTACCAAGTATGCAAGTCTATTTCATTTGTTAGCTGTCTACCTGTGCTACTGAAGAGGTGTGAAAGACTAACCGAAGCGGTCGAGCAACTGGTGAGCGCCAAAGTTACACCCATGGGAGGAAACCGACCTACACTTGTAAGTGAAAATAACACCCCGAACTTCCCAGTCAGGCCGAAGAAGCGAGCCAGGCCTCCCAACCCAACCCCAACGACTCAGCCTCCAGCAGTATCAACTCCATTCTCTCTCCCTCCCATAAGTAAAAACAGTGCCTGCAGCGCGCCTGCCTTAACTTCTGTACTGTGTGCTGCATCTAGTAGTCTGTTCACTACACTCGAGACTGTAAGCTACAGTCAACCAGCCATAGTGAACTACCCGGCAACGTAAGCATCGGTTGACGCCAAGCAAACACCGGTAACCTTTGTGCCCGAACTAAAGAAAACAAAAATGCCGCAGCACGGATGGCACACACCAATGCCGTTCACAAATTCAACAAAAACACCAGATACTAAGCCTTCAGATCCAAAACCAGTAGCCACCAGGCGCAACCATGGTGTCCTAAACATTGTATGCGCAAATGTCTCCAACTCCAAATCCAATACAATTAAGGGTAAGTTGACGGACGATCGAAATCAGTGGGGTTCCATCTGCACGTCGATCGGAGTCCATGCTAATCCCACGACATTAAAAAGAATCTCGCGCCACCCAAACGCGTTGCACTACGGCGAACCCCGGTTACTTCGAGTAACACTAAACTCGGCGGACGAGACTGAGGCCGTTCTGCTGTCTGCGAATCGTCTCCGCAACGACTCAAGTGGAGTGCGCATACTACCCGAAATCCCGTGGAAAGAACGTTCAGGGGATCCCGCCAACAATGATAGGTACAGAATAAGTCAAGATAAGAAAACAATGATTGCTCACGGAGGTCCTGAGCTTACTGACTCCTCTTCCTACGATGCCCAGATGCATGACCGCGAGCAATGGCACTACATCTGGGAGGTACTTTCTCTTGAAAATGTGGTGGTCACCTCGTTGACAAGGATCCCTATATCACCAAACGATAAGGAATGCGGTCCCAGGTTCTTAAAAATTGTGTTACAGTCAGAACAAATGGCACAAACCCTACTAGCGAACTGGATTAAATTCCGTTGCAGATTGCCAACAGAAATTCGTCTGAAAGCAGCAAGAACACCGACATTTTTAATGCCGATTCAGTAGAGGCACAACCCTTAGTGAAAACGCCAGCTGCAGGACCCGACTCGGGGACGGTTTCAAGAGTAGCCATACTATCCGGGGGGGGCACAGCAGAGCACGAGCAAACACCGGGATTCGGAGCATCTGATACTTGCTTATATATCAAATACTTCTCGAGAGTATGCAACCCATCCAAAAAATGATTAGTCGCCAACCCTCTAATGGTCGGCGTAAACTCATTTGCTTCATCCATCCATCCAGTCGCCGGCCATTCACTGGTCGGCGAAACTTCACGTATGAGTTGTACAACTTCTGAAACTTTGATTAAATCCGTGAAACTTTCCTGTATGTACACTAACGCCCAAGGGCTCCTCAGTAAAATTAACGAACTTCGACTACATCAGGTGTCGAATGCTTGGGACCTAATTTCTATTACCGAAACTTGGTTGCATCAAGAGGTGACTGATGCTGAGATAGCCGGAATGTCACTCATCCGGAACGACCGCCCAGCAGAGGAGGTGGGGTCCTACGTTACTACCGCAGCGATCTACAATGTACAATAGTTAATGACCTGGAAACGCACGTTACCGACTCACTCTGGTTCCGTCTCCGACTGAGGCACAACGACACATGTCTCATAGCTATTGTTTACCGCCCCCCAACGTCCACTCTGGAAATGGATTCCTGCTTGATCCGTCGCCTAAACAGAGTAACACGCACTAGGTACAGCCACATCTCATCTCCGGGGACTTCAATCTACACAATCTGGAGGTTTCGGCATCGCCCAGTGAGCAGTTCAAAGCAGACTTGCAGGAACTGATCGCTAATATTCCTTTGTACAATCATGTCACTACGCCCACTAGATTCAGGATAGCAAACAAACCGCCCATATTGGACCTTGTGCTCACAAATGAAGAGCTCATGATTGACAAGTTATTGATGGATAGTCCATTAGGTCTCAGTGACCATGTAGTAATAATTTTTGAATATGTGTTATGCAGAGTATCCATCTGAACACTCGGAACTAACTCATACAGTCACACGCTACCACATATTGAAAGAACTCGCCTACGCAGCTGCTTGGGAATGCTCAAACAAAAGTCCCCTTGACAACGTTTGGGCAGAGTTCGTTAATAAACTCAGTGACATCGTCAACAAAGCATCAGAGACCAAACCCCTTCGTCCCGCGAAAATGCCTTCAATTATAAGGAGTAGGACTCGCAAATGCCTGGCGATAAGGGATGCAGCATGGCGTGCCTACAAGATTAACCCAGACTCAGAGACTTAGGGAAATTTCCTGACACATCGCAACCATTGCACTGCACTTGTCCGTGAGGACAAAGTAACTTATCAACAGTGCCTATCCAAGAAGTTCATGGCAAACAACAAAATGCTGTATAAGCATGTCAATAAGCTTCGTAAAGTGAAGCATGGAATACCCCCACTATTCACGACAGGCAGTAGAGTACAAAGCGCCGAAGAAGCAGCTTATGCCCTGCGGCTGCAATACGCCCCAATTTTTGAACTCGCAACATCTACCTGTCCCATAATATCAAGCACATTACCGACACCTTTGTGTACAAATGTTATTTTCAACCCATCAATTGTGCTAACGAAGTTACTCTCACTGCGTGAGCATAGTTCTCCAGGAGCAGACAACTTCCGCCCGAAGGCACTGAAGGCTGTGGCCACCAAGATAGCTGAACCACTGTCACAGTTCTTTCAAAGGTGCTTTGATGAACAACAAGTCCCCACTATGTGGAAGTGTGGCATTATAACCCCTATTTTTAAAGGCGGTAGCCGTTCCGATCCTGCAAACTATCGTTCGGTGACTCTCCTCCCTGTGATCGCGAAGGTGATGGAAGCAGTCATCGCTGAGACTTTAATGAACTACCTGGAAAAATGCAACATTTTGGTACCGGAACAGCATGGCTTCCGTCAACACCGGCCATGCACCACCAACCTACTTATTGCACGAGGTAGTTGGACGGAAGTGGCCGATGATGGGGTCGGAGCCGACGTCATCTATCTGGACTTCTCCAAAGCCTTCGACAGCCTTGATCACCGCATCCTACTTCAAAGACGACAAAGTTACGGAATCGGAGATCCTGTACTTGGTTGGATTGGCAGCTTGCTTTACCAAGGATAGCTTTAAGTACTTGTTAGGGGATCACTTTCTAACCCAATTGAGGTGGAATGTGGTGTCCCACAAGGCTCAGTGCTGGGACCGCGTTTATTCCTGGCAAGAGTCATCTCCTCAAACTTCCTGCTTTTCGCCGATGACGTCAAGATATGGCGGGCGATTAGTAACAAGGCAGACCAGGATCTGCTCCAACATGACCTAGATTGCATTTACGAATGGTCAAAGAGGAACAAGCTTCAATTGAACATGGCTAAGTGCAAAGTGATGCATCTGCGTCACCAGCCGGTGAGCGCTTACAAGATTGGAGACCACACCTTGGCGAAGGTTTCTCAGGAGCGTGACCTGGGTGTATTGGTACAGGAAGATCTCGGGTGTTCAAAACAAGCAGAGAAGGCGACGAGAACCGGAAATCAACACTTCGGCCTTCTTCGCAGAGCCTTCGGTCGGTTTGAACCATCAATATTTCCCCAAATGCTTAAAGCCTACGTGCGACCTCACGTGGAATATGCTATTCAGGCGTGGCAGCCGTGGCAGAAACAGGATCTCGTTGCTCTCGAGACTCCTCAACGACGGGCAACCGAGAACGTCAGGGGCCTCTTTCATCTGCCCTATCAGCTTAGACTGAAATCTCTAAGAATGTACAGCAGTCGATGTCGGCTTTTGTGGGGGGATGTCATAATGGTTTACCAGATTCTGAAGAACCCAAACCACATTTGCCCTCCGCTGCTGGAATTGAACCACAACACTAAACTAAGAGGTCACCCTCTGAAACTGACAATTCATTACAGCCGGCTTGAATGCCGTAGAAATTTCTTTTCTCTCCGCGTGTGCCAGCCTTGGAACGCTCTCCCTAATTATGTCGTTTCTGCTCCCAATCTGGCGATATTTAAAAAACGTGTTGACGATGCATTGTCTCACTTACATTTCATTTTATGACTTGTTAGTCAGGGGCTACAAAACGCAGTCAAACGGTGTCTTGCCAAACGCCTAACCAATGGATTTATGGATTTATACCTTTAATACGCGAACATCTCCGCTATTCCACATAAGTCTATGGTGAGTCCACCACAACGCTTTTCACTTTATTATGCAATTGATTTTCGCAATGATTTCCATCCCACGAGACTTGTTAAGTGATGCTTTTTTACCCGTAATAAACCATCGTTCCATTGTTTTGAACTGTTGCACAGATGTTGCCTCAATCACATGCTCAGGTAAACTGTTCCAAATGTTTACCACTCTCCGTTCGAAGCACAGTGGGTGGGGAACACGTATAACATCAGGCACGAAAAGTTTGTATCTGTGTCCGCGTGTGCTGCATGGCCCTCGTAAGTGAAGCATTGGCCGTAGTATTGGGAAGTCACACGGTAGGTCATAATGAGCTTGACTCGTACCCGACGGTAGGACAAGGTGTAGTCCTAGTTTCTCGCACCGGTCTTCATACCCCAAGCCACGTAAACTCGGGATGAGCCTGATAGCAACGTGTTGTACCCGTTCGAGCTTTTGTGCCTCGTCTCGGGTAATCGGAAAGTAGACGGGCGAACCGTACCCTAGCATTGGTCTAATGATAGAAGAGAACAGGCGAGTGGCGACCTCTTCAGACCATGTACCGAAGCTACGTTTGAGCACCCAAAGCATGCGCAGTCCGTTACGATATAGCCTGTTTGTGTTGTCCACGGACTTCAAATCGTAGCGTGAGAGTACACCTAAGTCTTTCACGGAGGGTGTGTGATGTAGCATTTGGTCGTCAAAGGTGTAGGTTCGGCCGTTAGCACCCTTCCCCAGGCTCATAAATACGGACTTGGCTGGGTTGACCGGGAGTAGAACCTCTGCAGACCATGTGGATAGGCGGTTGAGGTCTTGTTGAAGTAGGTCACAGTAATCGGGAGCGTCGATTTCTCTCCAAATCTTCATGTCGTCCGCAAACAAGGCACACGGCGACCGGAGAAGCTGCGGTAGATCGTTGATGTTGATCAGGAACAGAGTGGGCCCCAGCACAGTGCCTTGAGGCAAGCCACTTGTAGAGGAGTACCAGTTAGTTAGATGGTCGTCGACCTGTACTCTCCACTTTCGTCCAACAACAAAGTCGCGGATCCACCGTTGTAATGAGCCACCGACACCACACATGCTGAGTTTGTGAAGGAGAACCTCATGACTGACCTTGTCGAACGCTTTACTGAAATCGATGAATATCACGTCGACGGACTTCCCCTTGCTTATTGCCTTCAACCACTCATGCCTCGTCACAAGCAGGTTCGTAATGCATGAGAGACCTTGCATAAAACCGTGCTGTGCGGGCGTCAGGACCTCGTTTGACTGTAGCAACTGCAGTAATCCCTTCTTCATGATTTTCTCAGCAACCTTTGCCAAAATAGGTGTCAGACAAATTGGCCTGTAATTGTCTACTTTGCGTTCCGCAGCCTTTTTTAATGTATACTATAACTCACTATACAAGTGTGTTCCTTTTCGTACCTACACCGCCTTAAAAGTGAAAAAAACAGACACAACAAAATGCATATAGAATGATCAGCTTACCGTTCTTTTTTCCTAATGCATCACCCCCTCAAATATTATCGTCTAGTTACAGTAGAAACGTTTTCGATTTCTCTTGGGCGATTAACGTCCTATTTGCATACTGGTAATGCTGGAGCACTGCTGATTTCACATGTCAGGGAAGTGCCATTCGTTTTGGCATAAATCATCCTCGGCTGCAGCTTTTCTCGCTCCATCCAAATGCTTCTCACTCCACTGCAGTGACAGACCACACCGCAGGCCAACGGTTTTGCAAGCGTCACTAACAAATAAATGGCTGTCTGGCAATCTTTTTGCCCACTACCGATCAGAATGTAAGTGACGTCAAATGAAGAGTGCCTCATCAAATCGAGCGACTACTCATTAACTGAAAAGTTGTCTGTATTTGCGATCCTTTTACGCAATGCGGTCGGATTAACAACCTGAACCGTGTGTCGCAATGTCGACAAATATACCACTCATTAATTTATGTAACTCAGATAGCTCACCTGAACTCTGTGTCCAACAATTTTGCTGATCTCATCCTGCAACGTACTCATCACGTATTGTGTTAGGTGGCGACTGCTATTGCCTTGCATTGTACGATGCCCTGTTAAAGAAAGACATGGACAGTTAACATAATTAATGCTTGTTACGAACCGTCGACAGTAGCAATTAACTTATCCCTCCATTGTTGAGATTTCCTCGACACAAGAATTCAAAATTCTTTCTATGTACCACAAATTCCCGGCAAAATTTTCAGCAGTACAGATGTTGTCATTCTAAGTTGCCGTTCTCTTTATTCGATTCGATCTTCAACGTTACGTAAAAACTGTCTGAAAATCGTTTTAGTTCGGAATGTCAATGCCTGTAGGTTTTTCGTGTCCTTCTCTGGCAGTTAGCACCATCGTAGAATGCTGAAAGCTGCACCTCCTTCTTGTTTACATAACGCATTTGCACCATCGCAAAATATAAACGTTAAATGAGGCTAATCAAGGCATTCATAGACGAAATCTACAGAAACTTGAAAGCTAAATAAGAATTTCGTAACACTATAGTACGTTGTTAGTGAGCAAGTATTTGGACAAATGGTCAAGAAATACGTCAGTAGCGACTTCATATTTTGCATTGACGGTATCACTAACTATTGGTCTTGTTGGAGATCACTAAAGTGGTGTAAAAGCTGCTACTATCAAGCAACCTTTTGAATAGCTTCTTGTTCTCAAAATGATTCATAAAGTGAATTAAATGCTAAGGTCAGGGTGATGCTGCAATTTTGCGAGTATTAATTGCCAACTGCTTCAACGTGCAAGCTGTTTGTTTGCGCTCTGTACGCTTCTGAAGTTTCAGCGGAATGATGCGAAAACTTTCTGTTCCCGTTGTTGATGAGCACCGAGCAAATTGGAGCAAATCGAATTGCTACTGCTGGTTGTTATAATTGCAATTCTTATCTATTGTTTAATACCGCCATATGTTGCTGCACGCTGTGACTTCTCGCCTCCAGCGAAATGTAGAATGATACTTAAAATACTCCAATGCAGGGACGACGTATGGTTTCGGGGCCTAAATGTCCTGCCTCTAAAATTTATAAATATTATTAATACAAAGCACTACATTTGCATTCTTGCCAAAGGGTTTGTTGTTCTGTTCGCCCCAACATAGTTGTTTATCAATGAAGTGAAGCAACGCCATAAATTGGCAAGTTTCTCCTAATATGCTTTGAAAACCATGCACTTGGGAATCATGAATTTTCTCCCACCGCAACGCGGTTTTCCTGTTAGAGAAGAAAACGCTCACTAATGCAACCTGTTGGAAAAGGTCTCTTACTCTATTGATTTGGTATAACTTGTTTTGTTCATCATCATCACCATCAGTGTTACTTTTATATGGGAACCTTTACAGCTTTGATAGAAAACTGAGTGGTTATCGTGTAAGCTGCGACTAAAGTCACCCTAAAGGATACAGTTGCTGAGGCAGTCGTAAGATGCCAGCGGTGTATCTGAATACGTCGTGTAAAAATTAAACTGAAATTCCTATCCCACTGTAGACTACAGCGGTCGGTGTGGGATCTTGCACTGCTTGCTGACTTAATTTGCTTGATACGCGTACTATGCGCCTAACTGCACAATGAGATAGAAATTTTAGAATTTTGCGGTACATACTCAAACCAGCAAGGAAAAGCTCCAGACTGCTGCCAGGATTTCTCAGTAGCCGGGATTACACAAGTCCCTTAGTTGCAGGTTACAATTACATCGAGATACCTCTCTCATCGAATTATAGAGGATGCGGCCCTAGAATCCTAAAACTTGTGGTTCAGTCAGAGCAAATAGCAAAGGATGTTTTGGATCGATGGCGGAGAAATCGAAAACATCTTCCTTCCGAAATTCGGTTAAAGGTCGCAAACACTTTGCACAGCTCAACTATTAAAGCAACTGAAGCAGCAAGCATACTGACGAATGTACAGAAGTGTAACTTGACTGCTGCTTTAATTGACTCTGACGTAGGTCTAAACGAAGGCTGGGACGCACCTTGGCCGAATCAAGTTGCAAACGAGGTAACATTGACCCATCAAGAAAACGAGTAACTGCCGACCTCCCATCGGTCGGCATTCTCCCACACTTGACAGCTTCACCTCTCTGTGGGCTCCTATAGACCGAGAAACTGACCTGCTTGTATACAAATTCTCAGGGACTTCCTAACAAACTGGCTGAACTGAAAGATCGCCAAGCTTCCGGCTCGTATGATGTCATTGGTATCACCGAGACATGGTTGCACACGGGAATGACGGACGCTGAAGTGTCGCTACCCGGCATGTCGCTGATCCGGAACGACAGGCTCACGAGAGGAGGAGGGTTAATCCTGTACTACCGAAACGACTTACAGTGCGAAGCCTGTGGAGGGTCCAGACTCGCAGTTCCCTGGCACTCTTTGGTACCGGTTGCAGTTTAAAGGCAGGGACGCTTGCCTTATTGTCTTGGTGTATCGCGCCCCTAACTCAACACCCGAAACCGACTACCACCTAACGGCTGCTTGAAGGTGCAGTTTTCAACAAAAGTACACTCACATTCTTACCATGGGTGAATTCAACGTACATTGTTTAGAAGCCCCTGCCACGATCGGAGAACAATTCAAATCCGATTTACAAGATCTAGTAACTAATGTTCCCATTTACAACCACATCACTTTGCCCACTAGCTTCAGAACTGGTAACACGCCATCTGTGCTAGATCTTGTGCTTACCAATGAGGAGCATATGATTGATGCGTTGGTTTTAGACTGCCCGTTGGGTCGCAATGATCACGCACTCATCAGTTTCAACTTCGTCTGCTATGCAGTATATCTGAATGATAACGATGAGACTGTGCGAACCATCACAAGGTATGAACGAGTCGCCCAGCTAGTCAGCACCACAACATGATCTTTCCTCGAGGAAGAACCCCCGGAAGTCGCCTGGCTCGAGTTCGTCAACACTTTAAGTCAGCTGGTTGCACAAGCTTCAGAGATAAAAGCTTACAATAAGTGCAAATCCGTTTCTTTCGTTAGGAGCAGAACCCGAAACTGGATGACAGTACGCAACGCAACATGGCGAGTGTACAGAGAAACTCCAGCACCAGAAACTGGAGACAACTACGTAGCCCAACGTAACCACTGCACTCTAATGTTAAGGGAAGACAAAGCCGCCTATCAGCAGAACATCGCAAAAGCCTTCAGTGCTAACCACAAACTGCTGTACAAGCACGTTAATAGCCTACGAAAGGTGAGGCAAGGATTTTCTCCACTCAAGACGGCTGATGGCCCAACAAGAATATCTATGGAAGCTGCAAACGCGCTGCAGATGCAATACGCCCCCACGTTTCAAGGAGTCTTGCCACCAAGCGATCTACTAAGCTTTGTATTCTGCTCGCCAGGACTAACCCACATCACTTTTACCGCAGAGGCTGTATTGTAAAAGCTGACGTCTCTACGCAAACACAGCTCGCCGGGTGTCGACGCCATTCGTCCAGAGGCTTTGGGAGCAGCAGCAAACCAACTGGCAGGACATTTAGCTCAGTTTTTCCAACACTGCTTAGACGAGAACCAAGTTCCCGCCATGTGGAAGCTTGGAATAATAAGCCCGATTTACAATGGTGGAAGCAGAACTGATCCCTCCAACAACCGCCCAGTAACCCTTCTTCCTATACTCTCCAAGGTCATGGAATCCATAGTTGCCGATGCATCAGTGTGCTATCTGAAAAACTGCAACCTCATCACTCCTGAACAGCACGGTTTCCGTCGACAGCGGTTATGTACAACTAATTTACTCATTGCCAGCAGTAGTTGGACCGAGGCAGCCGACGCTGGAGAAGGTGTTGATGTGATCTACCTGGATTTTTCCAAGGCTTTCGATCGTCTAGACTACTATCCAAGCTGCACCATTAAGGGATGGGAGACCCTCTTTTAAGCTGGATCGCCAACATTCTATTTCAACGGCAATTCGTGGTCAGACTTCGGAGCTCTTTATCGGACCCCATACAAATGGAGTGTGGTGTGCCGCAAGGCTCGGTTCTAGGTCCACGTTTGTTCTTGGTTTTATTAATGACCTTGCACGGGGAATCGCTTCAAACTTCCTAATGTTTGCCAACGATATCAAGATCTGGCGCAAGATCCAGGCGAACATCAACCAACATGTGCTCCAAAGTGACTTAGATACAGTGCATCAATGGCCGACCCAAAACGTATTGCATTTCAACGTCAGTAAATGCAAGGTGCTTTCCATCCGACATCAAAGCAGCTACTCATACCGACTCGGAACGGATGTACTGCAACAATCAGCTCTCGAAAGTGACTTCGGAGTCCAGGTTCAAGATGATTTAGGTTGTTCCAGGCAATCCGAAAAAGCCTCGAAAACCGGGAACCAACACGTCGGGCTGTTGCGGCGGGCGTTTGGACAAGTAAACAGCTCCATATTTCGACAAAGTCTCAGTGCGTATGTTCGCCCCCATGTCGAATATGCTATTCAAGCCTGGCATCCATGGCTGAAACACGACCTTAATTTACTGTAGCAGCCACAACGCCGGGCATCTAAGAACGGAATTGGAATGCGCAATCTTTCCTACCAGGAGAGGCTGCGACGACTGGGATTGTTCAGTGAAAGCTATCGCAGACTACCAGGCGACCTGATTATGGCATAATTGATTCTGCGAGACCCACATCGTGTGTGCCGCCCTTTACTGCAACTCAGCAGCAATAAAAATCTGAGGGGCCAATAATTAAAACTCGCAGAACAATGCAGTCTTCTGGAATGCCGAAGAAATTTCTTTTCCATTCGTGTCTGTCACCCGTGGAATGCTCTCCGAGAATCGGTCGTCTCTGCACCGACACTAACAGTATTTAAAAGACCGTTGGACGATGCACTCATCCACTTACACTTTGTTACTTAACACTACGTCTCCAACCTACACCTGGAGTTTACCTTGGAATTATTTTGTTAACTGTGGATGCTGTGAATTTAAGAGGATCGCAGGACTACAGCGAAGCAAACGATAAGTCTTTAGTTTCATATTTAAAGTATTAACTTTTTTGCTATCCTTGTCACCATTATTGTTATGTTGATATCCCTACCAACTATCCGACGGGACTTGTAAAGCAACGCTTCTTAAACCGTATAAATTCATTGTTCTTTGTTCATTGTCACAGAATATGAGATTATTGTAAACAATAAGAATCCTACAGATGGACTCAGTGCTTACTCTCTGTGGTGATGTACAGGGATTGGCAAAACGTGCGCATTCGAACTGCGGCTTCTTTTCGAAACTCCACACCGATACGACCAGCTTCATGAGCAAATACAAATAACAGAAATAAGAAACAATAAAGAGTAGAACTTTACTGAAAACATGTCAGATTTCAGAGAAAACAGAGTTCATACTTTTATCCAAGAGTTTGCAGTATCTGTGTATTTCCGACTGTCAATTAGTCTTCACAGTTCGGATCATGGTGTGTTAGGTAATTCGATTTGGTGATAACCTCTGAAATTCTTACATAATAAACAACTAAACCTGCTATGTGCTATCCTAGTTTATTTACAAGTATAGAAGGCAAAGAAACAACTTTTTAAATATTTCGAATCTGCTGCGGAAAGCAATATATATATATATATATATATATATATATATATATATATAATAAATCTTAGTTGTATCGGAGATCAAGGCATAATTTCTCACAGGGAAGTCCCAACAATGAGGTCTAAACGCACCTGATTGCACCGAATGGTACTCATGCTAAACTGACTTAAGAATGAGGAAATGGGGCAAGGTCAATTTCTCTTCCCACTCCGACTACCAACTAGCATGCAGTCGAGAAATTACTCTCCTAACGATTAGTTTAGGGATCGGTTCCTGTGTGATAAATTCACATCAAGATTTTATCATTTTTTTATGCTGTCAGCCACATGGGTTATGGTCACATCGATTGTTTCATCATTTGCCCACAAAAACAGTTGCGACACTTAGCTTGGACACATGCACATGCATTAAGTGGAAAAGTGGAAAGTTCCAACAGAAAGGTCAAGTTTCTTTATACATACTCGATTGCACTTTTCTTCTTCGTAACCAAAACTTTGGAAGTAAGGGCTTTAAGGTAGATAGTATCTAAGACCATCTCAGTACTGATATCAATTGCCTAAAAAATCGTTTTTATGCATTAATATCAATCTCTCTATGTTTTAAGCAGCTGTACTAAGTAGGCACTCACCAGTATAATTGCACTAACTGCTCAAGTTGCGGTAATTAGCCACTTTTGTGCAACTGCAATGGCGGCAGGTTGGGTGCCAATTGCCAGCGAGGCATTATGTTTCTGAGATATTAAATAATATGTTTGCATTTCAAATACAGCTGCTGCCAACTACCGACTACTAAACGGTTTGGAGGACAGTAAAGCGGAAACCTGTGCTTCCGCTCATAAATCTTGAATAGAAAAGTGCTATACGGCTTCCCTGAAGGTATGTAGGAGTGCGCTTCGGCGAACCCGATATGCCTTTCCTAGTCATATTGGCCATTCACTATCCACTGTTTGAAACTTATTCATGATAAGATAGTGGTTAACCTGTATAGTTCCAAGACGGTGTGGACAGGTTGGAAACACAATGACCCCTGATAATCATATCCAATGCACGGACGTTTGTCGTTTCTTCTTGCAATTGAGACACCATCAAACAAACAATCAGGGTATACATACAAACCCAAAAAACAGCAAGACACATACCTACCTATATACATATATACATTCACAAATACATATTCAATTTTAGGGAAAACATGTATTTTGTACATTATCCGTTCATTCGTTGTCCGCTTATCATAATCATGCCTGTACAGGCATGTCTCGCGTTGTCGAGAATAAAAAGATTAGTTTTTAATGCGAAGTCACCTTCATCGGCAAATAAAACAGTTCCATATACTTCGTAGTATTAATGCAGATTTCCATGATATACAAGTATGAAATCGGGTTCAATAGTTGTGCAAAGAGAACACTCCAGAAGATGATTTATCGCAGACCGGTATCTAATCCTCCGTATCAGTTCTTGGAGCTCCGCGTCTTGAGAAGCAAGCTAAGACGAAACATAATATTGTGTAGGAAACTCAACAAACAAGTATCTACATATAACTGGGTAAGAAATAAATTCTAATATCTCAGCAAGTGATCAACTTGTTGGTTAATGAGCAGTGAAGTTATAAGAATATTTAACCAATGAAAATACCAACCAATTCGTGCTCCATTTTCAACTTTCTTTACAAACGCATTAAGTAACCAGACATCATATAGCTGAACGCATCGCCCAAATCTTTCATCGTAGAGCCTATAGAGCATCTCTGATGGCGCTCGACTGGAAAATATTATATCCTACTTGGTTTAAAGATCAGTAGCCGTACGACCGAAGCTTGAAGAGAAGATGGAAGCATAAGCAAGCCAAATGCTGGCAGTATGAAGGTTGTATATGAACCTTCCGCGCATCTGCAGGTAACTGTATTTAGCTTCTTTTAATTGCACATGTTTGCATGCAAACGACCAATCTTCGAAAAGCGTCTCGAAAGCAGACGCTACTTGGGCAGTCCGTAGCAGCATATATTTTGAGTCTTTCATAGATCAGCCAAGGAACAGGTCACTTACACTGCCAGTACCTTTGTTGAGCAGTCAAGCTGGTGTTCTGGTCGACTTTTTTGTATTCCTCTAAGGTGTTTTGCATGAGCGTGAGTAAGCTAGTTCGTAGCTTGGTTAATTGCGCTTCCTTCAGTGGGTCCACTGACTGAGATGTCTTCTGATCTGTAAAAAGGTAATAGTACATAAAAAATATGGGTATTAACAATACCGAAAAAGTTAACATGATCGTCAAATAGAACAGAATGCCATTTCAAAAGTTGTTTAATAATGAGAACAACTTTTATTTAACATTAAACAGCCTAGCCAGGATTAGCGAAAAAGGACAATTAGCTTAAGAAAACAGAAATGGTATATGGTAGTGCATCCAAAATCACACATCACATAGGGTAATCTTCTTATGTTCTTTTGGTACCTTTTGTTATTCAAACATTATACTTCACCAAACCCAGTGCAACAGGCAGCAAGGATTGCGGGCACTTAGAGACATTTACATATTAATTGCTTGAAATAGTCTGCTGTTAATTTTAAAACTGATCTTGCTCGTAAGATTAAAGTTCGAACTGTCTTTTTCCAAATGCCATGTAACTTATTGCTGTCTGCCGAATGAATAAAGCATAGACACACAAGAAACTGCTGATTAAAACTTCTGTGAATATGTGATAGGATTCCAACATACTTAAATAGCTTGTGTGTATGTTGCTGCATTAAATTTTGTCCCCAGGGATGGATATAATCCTCTTTAACTTCCTTAAACGTCTGCAAAACCTACAAACCGTTCGAACTCTAATTTTTTGCTTGTTGGAAAGTTGCAGTTTTATGTGTAGTCCAGCAATAGTGGCATGAGCAGAGTAGAATAAGCTTTAATTCAGTAACAGTGTCGGCATGTTTCGATTGTGTCGTAGTGGTGGTAAATGGGGTTGGATGCGGGGGTTGCGGGACGAATGCACACACGAAAGCAATTCTTCGAAAACTAGTGCAAACATACTTGGTTTAGTACAAAAGAAAAAGCAATTATCTCTCGAAGGTAGCTAGATTGGACTGCCAGCATTTCAGTTGATATCAGTCGCAGATTATTGTGCAAAGTTTAATCGTGGCTTCTACTTTCTACAATGATATCGGTTGTATTGTAACTGCGCCTATTTGCATTCACTTAAAAGTCAAGTTCTCCCATACTTCGAAACAACTGGCTGCATGATAGCTTGGTGTGTAGTTACGTTGAGGCCACTACACTTTCCGTTAAAAGCTTGTCATTCGCTTAAGACGAAGTTCCTAATCACTTTCCTAAGTTGATATTGGTACATGTTCACAGATAGTAATTTGTAAGCGGTATATTATTACTTGACAGACCTTACTTGGGGGAACTTCAGATGGACGAATATGCGAGGGCCATAGTGACCACTTAACAAACTATTCAATCTGTTAGTCGTGCTTTAAGAGGAATTGCATCCAGAACATACCGTAAAACAAATCGGTACATTGCTTAATTCGGTATCAAACCCTGTGAGATGTTGAAAATGTTACCCAAGTCGCATGATTCCATTTGACACTTTCTCTGACACAATGGGTAGTTTACCAGTCACATGTTTTTGTTGTTAAATTACGCACTGAACATCGGGAAAGTGCGTCAAGCATTGCTCAAGCTTGCATTTGTAAACTTGTCACACAAGTAGACATGTGTTCCTTGAATGGAGGCCTCTATTTTATTTTACCTTGAGGGACTTGTGGCTGTTTAATCAGGAGTAAAGCTTATGAAACAAATGATACCCTGTAGGTTTCAGTAATATTTCCTATGAGATTGATATTATCCTCGCAAACATACGCATTTTTATGAGCCTCAGCATTGTGAATTTTTTGCTACATTTGCTTAAAAGCGAATGCTTCAACCTTACAAAATATAACAATGGTGAAAACAAACCGCTATTGTTTCAATGTAGAATGAGCGATAGGAGATCATCTGAGTTGTCTAAAATCAATCACGAGTGTTGTGCCTACATGATAGTCTGAAAATATGCACGTTACAATCCAAGTTGGGATAAAATCGAAATAATTAACCCATCTATCTATGTATCTATCTATTTATCTATCTATCTTTAGCTCATTTAGACAACATACCAACTCAGCTTTAGCATTTTCTGTGTTACGAAATATAAATGAGTGTTGGTTCGCACTAGCTCAGAATTCTCGCTATATTTGCTCTACAAATGCAATCGAGCGTGCGCTGAAACGCGAATCATAAGCCATAATTTAAAGCCAATGGCCCGGGAGAAGTATGACACGATGAAGGAATGTGTAACATTTCCACCTGAAAAAGATCTCATGATAAAAATGATTCATAATTCTGGCCTGGCCTTCACCGGAATATACTAAATGCCTATATACGGTCTATATGTTGTTGAATCATGTTACGAAGTTGCTGTGTGAATACAACTTGAGTAAGCTAGACCTTCAGCTACCAAAAATTAGGTATAGCTTCTTCACTGTATTTGTGGTAGCATGTACGTCGGCCCAGTCGTGAGGAAGTTAGCACCAAGGAGTACACAGTACCTCAGCATCTATGATGTGAACGGTCCCAGGCTATCAGTAGGGTCTATTAACCAGCATATCCTGGACCATTCTGAGTGCGAAACACCAACGGGAATTGTTCAGCGTAATAGGCTGACAAAGCAAAGCCTAATTGCTCCAATTTGACGACATTTTAGCGACTGCTAATGAAATCCAACACTTGCGTACTGAGTGTTCGATCTACCTCGCCTTGCTTTGGTACGGTAACTGGTCGATTTTATCGGAATTAATGGACATACATGTTACTTTCTAATGTACGCATCACAAAAGTTACACATACTGTATGTAAACTGCTGGCGAAAATTCCCCAAATAAGTGAATCCAAAATGTCTGTTAAAACGTTGTTCCTGCTTGCTATTTTGCAATATAGGAAGGGAACGTAAGAGCATGAATATTTTGCTTCAGTTGAGTGCGTTTGTAGACCATCAACCAGTGATAGTAAATTGTTGCTCATGAATCTATCTAGCATGCACTTACTGTTGACGATTCCCCCATCCGAACTCTCGCTCCGTCCGTATTTAGAAATGATGTTGACCAATTCATCTTCTGCAAGATGCTGTATATCTGAAGTGGTCACATGAGAGAGAAAGTCAGCGCTCACAAATATATCGAGAGGTTTTATTCCGGAAGTAAGCAATTAAAAGCATGATCAAACGTTTGAACATAGTGGTTATAACATTTGCAAAACCGACCAGTTGATCCAAATGTGGACAATGTGTTGATTCTTGGGTACAAGGTACTCGCCCTGTCTGGAGTGTAATAAGCTCGTAATTTTAGTTACAACTTATTTTGAAGAAGGCCTTGTTCGCTATACCCTTTTGGACCTCATCCATGGTGAAGTAGTCTCGAATACGTGTTCCCAAATTTTCTCTCTGGCGACATGCAACGGCAAGCACTGTTTGGTAGTATTTTGCTTAAACGAAACGGTAGCTCGCAACTTAGAGGAAAACATCTTAAAGTTGGGTAATTCAGTTCCGTTTACACATCTGATCCTGAGATGACACCTGTTTCTATCATATTGCCTCAGTCGCAGTATTGAATTATAGTATTTGATGTGATCAGTTGCGTGTTAGATTGTGGCATAATTCTCCAGTTTGTTCAACCTTTCAATCACTGAAAAGATAGGTGTGGAACCAGAAGAGCCCTGGTGTCAACGAACAGCGTTTGTAGCTTTCCATCATGGTGTTAGTTTTCCAAGTACTTCGTATATGGGTTGCAGAATAGAAGTAAAGTCCCTTCGTGTCTAATTCAAACCGTCTTGCGCGCGGCATTTACCGGTCTTTCAGAAAAAATGGCGAAATAATGACTTATCGGAAGATTCCAATTTAGCCCAACATACCGAATGTGATTTTCAATAGACTGATGCTATAGTAACTGAAAACTAATTAAGGTGTTTCATGTAGCATGGAATAGTAGAAACGTAATTATATCCAACAGGGACGACGTGTTGTTCTTTAACACTTGCACACGTCTAAGGAGCCGTAATGGCTAGATCAACCCTGCCAAGTCGCAATTAATGAGGTTGGGTAAGTGTGATCACGGCCGAACGTACACAGTGGCTGGTCAACCGTTGCATCCCGCTCCTTTCGTGCGCGACCTCGGTGTACTCTCACGCTGCGACCTAAAGTCCATTGACAACACGAATAGGCTGTACCAAAACAGCCTTCGTATGCTTTGGGCTCTCAGGCGCAGCTTTAGCACTTGGTCCGAAGAGATTGCTTCTCGCCTCTTCGTCTCGATAATACGACCAATGCTAGAGTACGGCACTCCCGCATACTGTCCCATCACCCGGGGCGAAGTAGAAAAGCTTGAGCGGGTGCAGCATGTAGCCACTAGGCTGATTCCCAACTTACGAGGTATGCCATACGAAGACCGATGTAAGAAACTAGGGTTATACACCCTATCTTATCGTCGGCTGAGAGTTGACCTCATCATGATGCACCGGATATTACATCTGGGTGATTACCCCGTGTTGAGACAACTACTTCATCTGCGCACACCAAGCTGCACGCGAGGACACCGGTATAAACTTATCGTCCCGGATTTGAAGCGGGTCGCCCATCAACTCTGTTTCGAACGCAGAGTGGTGAATGTCTGGAACGACCTGCCTCAGCATATAGTAGAAGCCAACACAGTGTCTAAATTCAAGATGCTACTAGACCAACAATTTGCAGAGGCAAAGTACAGAGAGCGAAACGATAAATAAAGAGTTCATGTCCGAAAACGACGAATGATGCAGCTACACAGAGCAACCTCTACTCGCTGCTTCCCACCAGTTCTCAGTTCTCAGTTCTCACTGCCATTCTTAACAGGTTGACGGGGTATTTCCTGAGGCTGGTTCAGCACATATCGTTTAGCATGACACACACTAGCCAACGAGTCAGTTGAGATAGTTTGTGATGTCCAATCGAAACATGGAAATTACTAACGTATAACCCTTGTTATATTGCAAATGATGAAGTGGTTTATAATGTACATGAAAATAGTAGTCTTACCCAATGAAGCAGAACGCTTACCTTAAAAGGATGGAGTCACTTTCAATAATAAGGACAGAGCGTCTTCTTTAGTTGTGGGGACTTAGCTTGTTTACTGTCCACGATGTGTAAGTAGTATTTGTTCGTTGACCTCCACTGTATATATAATAAAACCGCCATCACTCCCATAAAGCACACTATTCACTAACAGTATAGCTCAACTTACGACTAACATTACACAGTTTCGTCCTCCCTGACTTCACCTGCAAATTGTTCCGCAATACATTACATTCACTATAATTTTATTAGGCATGATACAGGTCTACAAGACTGCAATATTGTGCAGCCGCATACTTTCGCATGTAAGCGTTCCTCCAGGCCTTCATCAACGAGTCGGAATTAATAAGGTTATCTTCACCTGTATAGCACTACATCCTTAATAAGGCCAGTTTCTGAGCGAATCACGGAGCGTGCACTCACGTTTTATTTTCTTGCCAAGAAGTAATCAGATAAAAAACCATAAATTCTTGCACGCAAACAGCTTCCAGAGACTACAAATGAGACGTCGTTTATTTCATTGTTTACGCAACACTAAAGCTGGTGCAAAACATCTGTCCCTGAAAGAGCAAATTCGTTGGTTATCAGAAAGGAATTGTTTCTTATGGTCAATTTGGGAAATGGGAACTAAATAATTCCTTTAATTACCTACTGCTCACAAATCCGCACTTATGTTCGTAATTTTGTTTACAAAATTGAAGTAGTTACTCATGTAAACACTACAATTAGAAGCTACACCCTAAACGTTGTGATGAGATACCCACCCAAATAATACTTTGATGCGGGTGAGTTTACGGTTTGGCAACAACTATGTTTATATGAGCGAGAAAAAATTAAATACCCTTATAGTTCACAACCAGTAGACCTCCGTAGCCGTATGCAGCTGGTAGACAATAAACCTTGCTCATTGGTTTATAACGAGCAGAAAAGTAAATAACCGACAAGTTCCCTAGGATGACCGGAGCGAAAACTATAAAAGCAAAGGCACACATATGACAAAAATGAAGGAAATCTATTCACATGAACACTGATGCAACTTCCTTACCGCTACTTTACGGAGAAGGCTGATTATTACATAGCTTGATTCGTGTTGTTTCGTCCCCCAATTGAAACGGATTATAGCACGTAGTACCAATTAGGCAGTTGGTCGTCAAGGCTTTTATGAAAAGCGTTAATGTTGGGGGCCAAAGTGACATAAGTTAGAAGAAAGCTCCTAGTTGGGGACACTAGAAGGGGTGATAGTTTCTTTGACAATCAGGTCGACTGTAGTGGACGGCTAGTTGGAGCCGGTGTCCTCTCTGGTTGTACTTTTGGCTGATCGTTACTATTAGGCAACTAACGAAATGGTCTCATTAGTGACCTCAATAGTCACAGCTGTACAATTCCAGGACTTGCAGTCTACGTTTGTACGGGAGGGGAAGCAATCCCCTAATAAATTTGGTCACTGTATATTGTGGACTTTCAAAAGCATTAAGGTCTTTTTTGCGTCAAGACCACCAGATTTGGATCGCGCATTCTGGTTGAGACCACAAGCAAAAGTTTGGCATTTGCGGATAGACTACTACAATTTTCCGAACGCCCTTCAAGAGGGGACAGCATGATGACTGGCTCTCCGTTTCGAGCGGCTAAGGTAGTCCTACACTGCTACCCTGAGGTCGCTTTCCTATGTAGTATGTCGTAACTACTGTTGCCCTAGTCAATATTCATCAGTGTGCCAATGATAACTGCCCAGAACTTTGTATTTCACCAAGTTAATCTGTAGCCACTTATCGAGTGATCAAGCATAGGCTCTGTTGTGGTCGCTCTACAGTGTACTGTGATCGTCCACTGCTTTTATGTCATGTCAACTTTTGACATCATCAGCAAATAGTGGGAACCCCATCTCATGCACACTAGCAAGATTGTTGGTGCATATTAGAAACAAACATGCTCTCAGTAATGATTCTTGGGTACATCGCATGGGACAACAATTGGACCTGGAAATGGAGCTGCGGACTCTCGCGCTCAGCTGACGCTGAATGAGGAAGTCGCTTTTCCTACCCGACACAAGGTCGACAATTCCATAGCTCCGAAGCTTGTGAAGGAAAATATGGCAGCCTGGGTTATCGAACGCTTTGGAGAATTGTAGGTTTAGGACGTCGATTCCTAATATGACAGTGTCTGATTCCGTCAAGCTTGCAGGACTGGCAACCAGTTTGTGATGTACGACCGCTTTCGGCTGGATTCATGCCGTTTGGAAATTGTAATGTGATTACTATCAATTAATCCCATGTGCGCCTCTGCAATAATATCTCCCATTACTTTAAACAGCACCGGTAAAACTTCAACGACTCCGCACGATTGCCACTCTTGTAGATATGATCGACTATCCTATGTTTCCATATTGTGGCTACCTGCATTGTTTCAAGACTTCGTTAAATGTGTTAAGCTAATGTTCTGGCTATGTTCGCGGCGGCTGTCTTTAATACCTTTGTTCAGATATTGTTCAAGCAAGAAGAGCTGTGCGCGAGCAAAGACAATAGTCTTATCATCAGATTTACTTTCAAATACGATACCTGGCTTAAACCTGGGGGCGGATGGAGCTATGTCAAAAGCGAGTAAGTTGACCATTCAATCTGGAAAGTGCGGATTAAGTAAGTGCAGTCTAAGCGCGTTAGCTTCTCTTGGGTGGATAACGCCGGACCAAATGCTACTCATAGAACTGAGATTGTGCGTTTCACTAAATGGAGCCAATTGAGCAGCTTACGGTTGGTAGCAAATTTCATCCCTAAGTCCTGTTCCTATTTTAGTTTGCTTTTGCGTACCAAAGTGACAATGATTTCGTTGTGTTATGTAAAAATTCCAGGCCTGCGTAATCGGGCAGGTTTTATACTCGCGCTAGATTGTCTTTCAACGGCATCCATATTCGTATCCGGCTGATCAGAAACGATTTCGTTTGCTTCGGATAAAGGACTTTGGATTCTGACGCAATTATCACTAGTTCAGTGAACCGGATAACACATTCACTCAAGACGACATCGGGGGGTCTCTCAA